TCACAAAACTAAAGACATTTCCACTTGATCCTCTCTTTCCTTGCATCCATCTCCCTTCCTATCATCCATCTCTCTTCCTTCTCCAGCTTACTATGCAACAAGAACATGGCATCAAAGACACCACTCCAGACAGCTGTAGGCATGTTATAATTCAGACAGCTCTGGAACCCAGGCTGAACAAAAATGCTAGATGGTAACCTTCATGGGGACCCTGATGAGGGTACCTGATGAAAGGCGTCTTTCTAATGAGTTGTGATATAACCAGACAAAGGGTTTTTGAACCCGAAAGCTTGTTTAATAACTATTCGCCAACTATTTGGGTTGGTCTAATAAAAGATATCAAATTCACCCAAGGAACCTTGTCTGCTGATATAACCAGAACGTACTCCACGCTCACTGTCTGGCTTTGTGCAAGCCAAGCCTCTTCCTGACTCATCACCCCACCCTGTGTGAACAAGACTAATTAGGCACATGAACAGGGCCACAGGGAAGTATAACCACTTGGTGCCTGAAGGCAGTATTTCCTGTTGCTGATGCCCTCAGCATTTTCTCCAACTAGCAGCCAGCTCAGAATTACACCAGAGATGGGAGGCTGAGAAAGGGGCTCACAAAAGCAAGTAATAGGTGAGAAGTCATTGTCAGGAGACACCCCTACCAGAATGATTTTTTTTCCCCTGCCAGATATGAAGTTGATACAAGAGAAGACATCATGGCTTGGATACAGGCTCCCATGGTGACCATATACCTGCTCCATGCAAAAAAGCGGTATTATTCACTATTCCCTAGCAAACAGTATTTGTGATGGCGTTATACCAACAAGGGATCAGGACTCCATTGTGCTAATGCTGCATGAACCAAGTCTCCGTCCGAACGAGCTTACAATTTGAGCAAAGAGATGAAAGCACATGGGGAAATAAGATAACAATGAAATGATTATAAACAGCATGATAAGCAGTGGTACAAATACACAAGCTGACTAAACACTTGATTTTTTTTTTTTTTTTAAATGGTAGCTCAGAGAAGAGTTTTAAAAGGAGAGATCTGAAGGACACTGCAGTGAATTTGACAAAGTTTACAAGGTAAACCACGCATGCAGGGCTGTCCCTGGGAGGTGGGGGTGAATCGGGACGACTGCCCTGGGCCCCGCACTTTGGGGAGCCCTGCAGAGTGGCCACAACTCCTCCTGCAGGGCCTGCCTAGTGCTAGTGATTCCCCCCGCCACCGGCTTTGCGTGTGGCTGCTTGCCACATCCCCCCCTCCACAGTGTAACTGTGCTCATTGTCCAGAGCAAAGCTGGTTAATTGTGGCAAATTAGTTTAGTGTTATATGACCTGCCAGTTAGGGACTGTAACAATTTAAAAGATTCCAACACATTTGAAACCTGGTCTCAGAAGGTGAGAATTTAATACAATGGGTACTTGTAACACCATCTGACTTTTATAGTTTAGAATTTCAGTAATTTGGTATTGCTGTCCATTATAAGAAAGATACCCAGCCTGAGAAAGAACCATTAATTCTTCTCATAACAGGTCAAAGTAACTGTGAATTTCCTGTTTTGGGATTCTAAAACTGTAGGAAATAAAATCCATTGGGCAATGTAGTGTTCATCCATAAAAAAAATGTCCTCCAAATCATGCTGGCTGTTGGTTTGAAATCTGTGGCCTCATGCAAGTGGAAATACTTGCTCAATGAGTGAAAAATTTTAACTAACTTACCAGATTTTCTCACATACAACACACTTTTCCTCCAAAAACAGCTGCTGGAAACTTCAATGCACATTAAAGGCAAGTAAGTACAGTAAAAACATGTTTTGTTTTTACGTCATGGGCAAAAGTTAAAAGTCAAATCTGTATGAGACTCATGGGTCATGTCCAGATGAATGTACAAGTGCAGGGGCATGCATCTGCTGTGGCAGAAATAGAAGCAGCACATCTGTGCCACTGGTTTTTGCCCCAGGGCATGCCCATGCATGCGTGCTCTGGCACACACCAAATTGTTCTAGGTAGGACAGGGGAGACAGGGCCAACACCTGTGCCAAACCCAGCAGCCTTACCTGGGTTCCTATAAGGTACAAATCTACCTTGCCTTCTTCCTGACTTCAGACTAATGCAGCTACCTAGCTCTTTATGCAGTGTGAGGCAGTCACTGGTTTGTCCCCTACCCTGCTGTGTTAAATAATAAATATGGTTACTCACTTGCTATGGCTTCCATCTATAAACTTCATACTATTATCTATTCCCATTTACAAAATGCAACACTCCAGCACAAATATGAAGGGCATGAAATTTGAGACATTTGTTAAAAGGAAAATTTAGTTGGTGATGATTACTGACCACATACAAAGTTTACAATTTATCAGGAAGATGCCTCAGAGGAAACCTGTACTGCAACACATCCAAAATACTGTATTTAGTAGATCCTCACCACCAAACCTTCCATTTTGCACTCATAGCAATTCTCCATCAAATCCCACTGTGGCATCACTTCAGGCAGCCTGTGAACTAGGAGCTAATACTACTACAGATGTGGTCCAAAGACCTGTCTGCCAGGCTACATTCAACTAACAAATCTATAGTAGCTGGGTGCATCTCCTCCCACCTTTAGCACTTACCAGTCTGTCTATCCCAGGCTCCAGTTTAACTTCGGCACTAAGGGAATGGGATGCATCATCTGCTGCAGGATCTGGAGGTGATGCTTCACCAAGGGCTATCAACCCCTAAAAAGAAGAAATCCAGTAAGAATTACTTTAAGATACTGGCTATCTTCTTCAGTTTCAATAGGGAGCTCTGTATCCCATATTACTTTCTAAAAACAAAAAGCACCAGAGAGAGTGATCTATGGTCCTACAACACTGTTCAAACAGGATGCCAAAGAGAATGCCAGCCACCTGGCTTTTCCTATTATTTAAGTTGAACTGGTAGGGACCAAAAGCAGATCACATCTTTGTAGTTAACTGGACTGATGAGGCGAGACTGATAAAAAGCTGTCTAACCACACCTGTATGAAAACCCAAAAAGAGTATTTCAGTGATGAGAAGTAGAACTCCCCTTGTAACAAGCAGTACAAAGTAGAACAGCCACCATGACAAGCCAAAGGAAAAGCCAAAGTACAGTGACAACTTGCAAAGGCAGGTCGAACAACTCACAGCCAGCTAAGAACTCTGAGCAGATTCACAAACAGCTGCATTCAAAAAGTTCAATAAAGAAAAGAAAAACACTACCACTTTAAATAACCAACAGCTACTGCCATATATCCAGCAGAGCAAGGCAACATGCTTTTTTCTTTTTAAATCAGGGTGCCAACATGTTTTAGCCCATTTTTTCAAATTTTACCCAACAACTGGGATTTACTTTAATGCTAGAGCTAATAATTGAACATGACAGACTGAACAAGCAAAATATTATTTGTAGGGGGAAAGAGAAAAGAAATGTTAAGAACTGGAAAGGAAGAGGTTACAGGTGAGAAGAGGTGGAAGGTTCATAAAGATGACCCCATCTCCTCCTGTATGCTAAAGGCTCACTGGATGCAACTCACTTAACATGGTAGCAAGAAAAAAAGCCAGACAAAAGGATAAAACCTAGGAAGGAGCAGCACAAAGGACAACAGGACAGCAAAGCTTGTGAAGGTGTTGGAGATAGGAGTACGTACATGGAAATCCTTCAAGCCAAGACTATGTTGTACAGCTATTGTTTTGTTTTTGATCCGTCTTAACCAAAGTTAGCAATGCCCCCTGAAGTAAGGGAGGGAGTGGGGCTGGGGTAGACGTTGCCTAGCCAGGGTGGAACAGGGTATGGGGCAGAGATGCGGCTTGTCTGGGGGGTGTGGGGAGGGAGAAGCAC